GGGGGGGGCCTAGGACCAGGATATAGAGACAGATGATCCTCACTTCCTGTCCCAAACAAATGCACACCGGTACAGAAAGCTGCCAGGCATCACCCCCGTGCCCGCTGGGGGTGGGTGGGGGGCTTCGGGCCCCTCTGGGATGAAAGGGGCTCTGCAAACGGCCGGTGGTCTCTGCACACCTGCCTGCAGGATGAAGCCGTTCTCCAGGAGAGGGTCGAAGCCCAGGCGAAGCTGTCTGAGTTTGAGCAAGGTGAGTCTTTCCCATCTTCCTCCTCCTCTCTGGCCCTGAAAACAGCAGAGTTACCCACCACGTGGGAGGTCGTTGTCTCCAAATCCACGTGCAGCTTAATTTAAGACTTTGCTGGACCCAGAGGCTGGGGATTAGCTAGTAGGAGCTCCCTCGTGTCCATGCAGCACCTACCTTTGCCCCATCGAAGGCACCGGGCTGGGAGTCAGGAGACCTGGGTAATGTTAGTGAGTCCCAAGTGACACAGTTGCATTGTGGGGCTGGGAGGGATATTCTCCCCTTCCTGTTAATACGGGAGTCAGGGGGGTTTCACCTTCCTCAGAGGAAGGCTGAAGGGGATGGGCTGGGCTGTGCCAATGCTCCTGCTGGCACCAACCCTGCAGGGTCCTGGCTGGAGGGGCTTGCCCCTGTGCTCAGGCTGAGCCCAACGCTGCACTGGGGAAGGACGGGATTTCCCCCTGCTCACACTGGTCTGGACTGGGAGGGGTTTGCCTTCCTCTGCAGCAGGGGCACAGCCTCAGCCTGGGGTCTCTCTCTAACAGCCCTAGCAGCAGCAGGACACCTCCAGCCTTCGCCCCCCGGCTTTACCTAGGGCAGAGTCGGGGACTCTGGGTGTCTTTCAGCAATGAGACTAGTCGTTGTGCACAGGGTTGTTGTGTTGTTTTAGGAATAGCTCAGGAAGGACCTGTCTGGGATGGTTTGGATGGGGCTGGTCCTGCCCTGCCAGCCCGGTTGTGCTGTGAATCTATGACTCTGTGCCCCGACCTTTCCCTGCACCTGGGCACTGGAGCAGAGACCTCGCATAAGACCATCAGAGCTGCCATCCACTGGGTCAGCCCCTGGGTCTGCCTTGCCCATGTCCTGTGTCGCGCGGGGGCAGAGAGCAGAGGCGGGAAGGCGGAGATTGGGGCTGAGCAGGGTTTTTCCCCCATTCCTCTCTCCCTGCAACCTCCAGCGCTGAGGTCCAGGCAGGGCTGATGGAGGCCGTGCCCCTCACTGCCTGCCCCAGAGCCCCCGATGCCCCTTTCCCCCCAGCACGTGTCCAAGCCCTGGTCAATCTGGCCGAGCTCTCAGCTCCCAGCCTCTTCTCTAGTTCTCTAGTAACAGGACCAGGAGCAATGGGCTCAGGTTGCAGCAAGGGAAGTTGAGGTTGCATATGAGGAAAAACTTTCTCACGAGGAGGGTGGTGAAGCACTGGGACAGGCTCCCCAGAGAGGTGGTGCAGTCTCCTTTCTTGGAGGTGTTGACAAAGCCTTGTCTGGATGATGTAGTTGGGGCTGGTGCTGCTTGGAGCAGGGGTTGGACTAGATGTGACCTCCTGAGCTCCCTTCCACCCTCATTTTCTGTGATTTAATAGCAGCCTTCAGCTCGCTGCAGGGTGGTTCCCAAAAGGGAAATGAACTGGACTGTGCTCAGTGGTGACGAGCTCCACCCTTCAATGCCACGCCGGGGATTTGGGGAAACGTAACTTCCTTTAGCTAGTTTAAAACTGCCTGCCTGCTCCTTTGGCGCTGTGACCTTGGTGCTTAGTCCCCTGGCTGCAGCCGCCTTTAAAAGCCTCGAGGACCTTTCCTGGCGGGTCACAGCAGCTCTGGGAGCAGCGACGTCTGCAGGAGGCATGGAGCTGCACCCCAGCTCCGCTCCCCTTCTCCTCCGGCGGGGAAGACGTCCCTTCAGCAGCTCGGCGGGGCCTTGGAGGGATCGCTGGCCTGTGGGAAAGGAGAAGTCAGCTGAGAGGGGCTGCTGCAAAACCCAGGTCCTGCTTCCTGTACATCAAAACAAAACCAGGACGCTCACACGAACAAAAGAGGCAGCTTCTGCAAAGGATGCCGTTTCCACCCTGCAGCCTCCCAAGACCTTATTGGTTTCTCTGAGCCCTGGCAAACCTGGTAAAGCATTGCCCTGAGCTGCTCTCTCCTCCGAGCGCATAGCAGCATGGCGAAGCAGCCACCCCGGGGCATCTCAAACTGGTGCAGGGCAGAAAGCAAAGGGAAAGGCATAAGAGTGAGGAGGAATAAAGCAGGGGAGACAGAGGGAGAGGCCGTGAGAAAAACCCCAGGGGTTTCGGGGACGTCACCTGTGCCCAGGCTTGGTCTGGGTATCTCTTGGCACCAGAGTAGCTGTGCTCCCAACCTAGTGTACCCATGCACTGTGGGTGGATCTAGGATCTAGGATCAAGGATCAAGGACGGCACATCACAGATCATCACAAGTTTTTCTCCAATTAAAGAGAAGCTAGAAGCCTTATTAACAGGCAGAGGGGATAGCGCTGAATTATTCCATTTAAGATCAAACAGGACAATTGGAACGTGCGCTAGTTTGCTAAATTATACATTTTAAGTAAAAAAAACACAAGAAACTCGGCCAAAAAAGAGTCCAAACAGTCCAAAGCTATCGTGCCATTAGTCCTGTATAGTTAAATGTACGTCTCTCATGCATAAAACGAAATCTGTCCTTTGGATGGTCCCTCCAATACTTCACTGGAGAAGGTGCAGAGAAGGGCAGCGAGGATGAGGAGGGTGTGGAGGGCGTCCCAAGGAGGAGACGGCAGAGGCCAGGCCTGGGCAGTGCAGAGAAGAGATGCTGGACGGGGGACAGGAGAAGGGTTTCCAACAAACTAAATGGGGAAGAGAAAATACCTAGGGATTTTTTTATTGGCAGTCTCTCACCCGACAAGAACAAGATGGCACAGAATGAAACCAGCAGGCTGTCAGTTTAAAACTAACACGAGGAAGTCCTGTTCCTCCAACGTGGCCACCAAGGGGGGAAGTCGTGGCCGCCAGATATGGGAAGCTGAGAGCTCAGCCGGATTCACCAGGGCTCGGACACGTGCTGGGAGGAAAGGGGCATCGGGAGCTCTGGGGCATGGCCCCCGCAGCAAACCCTCAATGCTGGAGGCTGCAAGGGAGGGGAGGAAAACCCTGCTCAGCCCCAGTCACTCTCCCTTCCAGCTGCTATGGGACACTGGAGACTGGGCATGATGGACCTGGGGTCTGACCCGGTGCACGGCAGCTCTGATGCTCGCTCCCCTGCATATTGCTCTGACCCGAACGGAGCAGACCTGAGCCACGGCCCCGCGCCGTGCTGTTGCTAAATGTGGAATTGCTCCGGGGCAAAGCAGCGCTTGTGCATCTTACTCTGGTGCGCTGCTGTGTGTCCACAACTGCTGGTCACCTATGCTCAGTGCCAGCCTATGCCACTGCTACCTGCCGCCCAGCCTCTGTAACAGCCCCTGCCATGGAGCTGACCCTGGGAAAACCAGCCGTCTGCACATCACACCCGTGTTCATGTATCGTGTGTCCCAGCGCTAGTCCAGCTCCCAACTCCGGGCTGCAATCGCAGATATTTCGGCCCACAAGAATTATACACCCCCAGGGCTGGGAAGGACGGCAAAGGGCGATGGGACCATTCCCAGCACAGATGCAGGATGCCCTGGTCCTACCCCATCCCAGACAGGCGTCCAGCCTCTGCTTGTGAAGATGCTCTGGGGGGGTTGTGCAGCGCCCAGCACTGCCATCCTCACTGGGCCCAGCCCTCACGCTATGGGGAATAGCGATGGGGTGAGCTGCAGGTGGATCTAGGACTAGGGTGGATCTATGGCTATGATCAAGGGCTCACTATGCCTCAGAGTACTTTGTTTTGGGCTCAGTTAATAAGCGACGATGCAACCATCATTAGCAACCCTGGCAGTAAGGGAGAGGGCAGACATGCCAGCACCCGTTGCCTCTGCCAGAGACTGTAGCCCTCACTCCCTGGGGAGGGTGTCATAGGAGGATTGCTCCCAAATCCCATCCCACCAGCCCCTCTTCCTCCCCAGCCTCGCAGAAGCTGCTGGCCGAGATGTCGGCCCTGGAGACGGAGTATGAAATCGAGAGGTCGTGCCGGGAGCAGGCAGAAGTCTACGCTGCCCAGGTGAGGTCTCAAGGGTGCTTGGTGCCACCTTGCCGGGGGGTAGAGGGCAGAGAGGACGGCAGGACACTGAGCAGCTCCAGCCCCACCAGACTCCAGGCCTGGCTTTGTTGCAGCGAGGAGACATGAATGCTCTGTGCAAAAAAACCTGGGTGATTTTGCACAACGCTGGGAGAGCGATAGATGCGGGAGAGCAGGGGGGCCTGGCACGTCCCCGGGCTCATCCCAAAAGTGCCTGAGAACTGCTCAGTTCCTGCCTCTCCCCCTCTCACAGCTGTTTTGGGGCAGCCGGGAGGGATGGGGACAATGTCTCCCCCAAATTATGCACGAGGAACTCGATGCAATTGCTCCATTGCAAGGTGCTGGTGGCTGTGAGCATGCTGGAGGCTCAGCTGGCCTTGTGGGATGTGGGGGGAGAGGCCAGAGGGCTGGGGGCATCCCGTGCCCATGGGTGGGGTGGATGAGGGTCCCCCGTGCCCGTCAGCACTCAGGGCTCCAGGCCGTGCTCTCCTCCCACCTCGACCTGCAGGTGAGCCAGGAGAACAAGCAGCTGAAGCGCATCAGCCTGGCACTGATGCCCATGCTGGACCAGCTCCCTGGAGACCTGCTGGATTTGGCCAGCAAAGTGGAGTCCCCGCCGGACGCCGGCCCTGAGCCCCTGCAGCAGCTGCGAGGTGAGGCCGTGCCCCCCACCCCCTAAATCCACCCCTAGGGCTGGATGCAGCCGTGGGCGATCAGCTCATCGGGGCTCCCGCAGCACAGAGCTCCTGGCTGGCTCCAGAGCCGGGGCCAGGGGGGGAGCTGTGCAAGGCTCTGGACTCGGGGTTTAGACCCCCGCCGGACGCCGGCCCTGAGCCCCTGCAGCAGCTGCGAGGTGAGGCCGTGCCCCCCACCCCCTAAATCCACCCCTAGGGCTGGATGCAGCCGTGGGCGATCAGCTCATCGGGGCTCCCGCAGCACAGAGCTCCTGGCTGGCTCCAGAGCCGGGGCCAGGGGGGGAGCTGTGCAAGGCTCTGGACTCGGGGTTTGGACCCTGGCAGGGCTCAGGACACCTAGGGCCTGCTCCCAGCTGTGCTTTTACCTGCCTCTCCTGGTTGCAGAGCTGCAGGAGAAGATTTCCACGCTGCTGGGGGAGAAGAAGGAGCTGAGTCTCCAAGTTCAGGAGCTGCAAGGGGAGACCAGAGCGCTCAGGGAGCAGGTATCTGGGCAGGATGCAGAGCCACAGCAGCTGGTTCCACCCCCACCCCCTTCCCTCCCGCCGAGGCCACTTTTGGATGGTTTTCAGCCCCTTGGTGCTGGCAGGGGTCCCTGGAAGCTGCTAGCCAGGCTTTAGGGGACCACACGATGGTTTCATACGGACCCCTCAAGCTTCGGGATCAGCCCAGCCTGCTCTGGGCTTCCCAAAGCCATGGCAGGACCGGCTCCCAGCTCCTGCCAGGCACGTTTGCTGCCCAGGGGTGCTAATTCCCACCCCCAGACCTGCCCAGCCCCAGGTGCAGGGGGATGTAGGAAACCATGGGGTCTACCCAAGCCCGTGGACCTGAAAGTGCAGCGGGGTGCAGCGGAGGAGGATGCTGAGATGCCACATCCTGCCGACAGGTCGAAGAGGAGCACGAGGAGCGGAGGTCCCTCCAGGCCGCCCTGGACAGGAGCCAGTGGGCCCTGAAGACGCTCAAGAGAAGTGAGTGAGTAGCACCTCCCCGATGATGGCACCAGGCTGTTCACGGGCCGCTGTATTCGCAGCCTCGCTCCACCCCAGGGCCCCGGGGCATCATCAAATCCCCAGCCAGACAGAGGGGGAAAATGTCACTCAGTGGGGGGTTATTCCCCCTTTTTGGTAGTTTTCCCTGCCCCTGCCTTTTGGGGGTAACATGGGAGAGGCCTGATCCTGCCTCAGGCAGGGCCGTGGGCTAGATGTGCCGTCTGGAGCTCCCGTCCAGCGCCACGTCTCCAGGGCCCCTGTGACAGGTTGCACAGATGGTGCAATGCACAGGTGAATCGTGCAAAAAATTTAGACCAGCGACATGTGCAAAGTAATTATCACACGGTGATAATTGGGCTGGGGATTTTGCCAGTGCTCCTGCTAGAGCTCAAACCCGGGGTCTTGCCCCTCTGCTCCGGGTCAGACCAACGCTGCATTGGGGGCAGGAAGGGATTTTCCTCCAGTCAGTTTGGCACGGACTAGGGGGTTTTGCCTTCCTCTGTAGTGGGGGCACGGCCTGGGCTTGAGTGCATTTTTAAAACCATTGCAGGAGCAGGACGTTGCCAGCCCTCTTGCGCCTGAGGGAGGTTTGGGGGTTTTGGTGTCTTTGGGCAACAGGTCTTGTAGTTGCGCGACAGGGTTGTTGTGTAGTTTTAGGAATAGATCAGACAAGGCTTTTGATACGGTCTCCCACAGCATCCTCTCAAGCCAGCTAAGGAAGTCTGGGTTGGATGAATGGGCCGTAAGGTGGAAAGAAAACTGCCTGAGTCATCAGGCTTAGAGGATAGTAATCGGTGGTTTGGTGTCTACTGGGCAGCTGGTGTCAAGTGGACCCAGTGGGGCCAGTGGTCCTGGGGCCAGATTTGCTCTACATCTTCCTCAGCAACCTGGAAGATGGGATGCAGCGCACCCTCAACAAGTTTGCAGATGACACCAAGCTGGGGGATGTAGTAGATACACTGGAGGGTAGGGATGGGATTCAGAGAGACCTCGACAAATTGGAAGATTGGAGCAAAAGAGATCTCATGAGTTTCAACAAGGACAAGTGCAAAGTCCTGCACATAGGGGGGAGCAGTCCCCTGCACCGGTGCAGGCGGGGGTGACGGGCTAGGCAGCAGCTCTGCAGAAAAGGACCTGGGGGAACAGGTGTCCAGTTGGTGTCCAGCTGTGGGCCCCCCACTACAGAAAGGATGTGGACACGTTGGAGAATTGGCAATAAAAATGGTTGTGGGGCTGGGGGACAGGACTGGTGAGGAGAGGCTGGGGGAAATGGGCTGATTGAGTCTGCAGAAGAGAAGACCGAGGGGGATTGAATAGCAGCCTTCACCTCCCTGCAGGGGGGCTGCAAAGAGGATGGAGCTGGGCTGGTCTCAGTGCAGGCAGATGACAGAAGGAGCAATGGGCTCAAGCTGCAGCAAGGGAAGTTAAGGTTGAATATAAGGAAAAAATTTCTCCCGAGGAGGGTGGTGAAGCACTGGGACAGGCTCCCCAGAGAGGTGGTGCAGTCTCCATCCTTGGAGGGGTTTAAGACAAAGCCTTGGCTGGGATGATGTAGTTGGGGCTGGTCCTGCTTTAAGCAGGGGGTTGGACTAGATGTCACCTCCTGAGCTCCCTTCAACCCTCCTTGTCTAGGACTCGAACGTGTCTGAGATGGTTTGGATGGGGCTGATCCCATCTCAAACAGGGGCTGGACTAGCTGTGACCTCCCAAAGGCCTTGCCAGCCTGGCTTCCCTATAATCCCAGTTTCCCAGCCTGTCCCCATGCCAGACCCCCCTCAGAGGCAGAACGCCCTTCGCAGTCTCCAGCCCACATCTGCCTTGGTGCAATATGACACCATTGCTCCATGTCCCGTCCCTAATGGCATCCCCTTTGCAAGTGGAAGAGGCTTGCAAACATTGCACTGGTGCCCCAAACAGCTGGTGGGGGCCGTGGGGCCGTAGGACTGTGCTCCGCGGTATTCCAGCCAGGCCTCCCCAGGTTGCCCTGGTGGTATTTTGGGGGCCAAGAGATGGGCAGTGGGCATTCACAGTCCAACCCCAGTGGGATCCCAGTTGCAGGAGCCAGGGCTTGGGTGTGTGCAGGGGGTTCATCCACACCATATGGACCCAGCAGCGCCATACACACAGCCGAGGCAGTCTCAAAGTTGCCAACTTCATGGTTTGGGGTGGTTCAACCCATGCCAAGCCCTGGGTGACAGCTGTGCCCCAACACCCGGCAGTGTCCCAGAGGGTCACGCAGGACTACGGCAATATACTGCAGCAGCTGGAGCTGGAACAGGACTTACGGCAGCATGCGGAGGTCTTTGCCCACCAGGTAGGGCCCCGCGGAGTGGGGGCTGCAAAGATGGGGGGGAAACTGGGGAGAGCAGAGTTGCAGGAAGCCAGGGTCCATGCACACCCCTGCCGAGGTCTGTAGTCCCAGCCTGCAGCTCCCTGCACCCCCACTCCCCATCCTGCCCTTAATCTGTCCTGGGAGACTCGTGACGTGTACAAGCGCCCGTGCGGCGGATGAAGGTTGTAGGAGGGGGCACTGGGCTGGCCCCAGCACTCACAGGAGGAGAATCCAGCAACTGAAGCAAGTGGGATGCTCCTGTTTGTGCCCAGAGCCCACAGCAGATTAATCTCCAAGACACAAGAAGCATCTTCCAGGAGTGGCATCCAGATGCAGCAGGGACCGCCTTCCTCCCTGCTTGGGTCTGCAATGATGCCAGGGGGTACAGGGAGCAGAACTGGGGGTGGAAATGCCTCTAGAGCAGAGGGTGACATGGGCAGCAGGAGAGTAACCCCCTCCCCGGCCCACGGGGCACAGATGCTGGTGAAGCAGAAGGAAGCCAACCGGCAGAGCCTGATCCTGATGCAGAGCACGGGCCCCAGCGCCCAGCTGCTCAAGGCACTGGAGGAGGTGGCTGCCCTGACGCGGATGATGGAGGAGGCCAAGCAGGAGCATCTGGAGAAGGTGAGAAGCCATCTGACCCGCAGCCTCCATGCAGGGCAGAGGGATCATGGCCCTGACACTTTGCTGAGTGGGGTAGGGGGGATCCTGGGAGATTTTGCTTGTCGGGGTAGGGGCTCCTCAGCCTCTCGGCCCCATGCATCCAGGGCTGTCTCTGCCCCAGGCTTCCCTTCCAGACTCAGAGAAGTGGGGCTGGAAGGGACATTTAGGGTCCCCCCTTCCCTGGTGTCTCTCCCACGGCCTCTTCCCATGGTCTCCATCCTCCCCTTGCTGCCTGCAGGTGCAAGGTCTGGAGGGGCAGCTGAAGGTCAGACCCCAGCAGGAGCAGCTGGACGCAGCCCAAGCTGCCCTAGCCGGGGCAGAGGAGGAGACCCGCCAGCTGCGCCAGCGGCTGCAGGAGGCCGAGGAGAGGAACGCGGCACTGACCGAGAAAAGTACGTGCTGCCATCAGTGCCTGGCCCGGCTCTGGGCCCTGCAATCCCTGCTCCCCAGCCAGGTGGTACCCGCAGTAAGGGCCCAGGCTGCGGCAAGACCCTCTGCATGGGGTGGGGGCCCCCAGCACTCTTGGGGATCGCCAGCCCCAGGCCCAGCTGGGTGGAAACCTGACCCCGCAGAGCCGGTGTGACTCTAACAGCATCCCATTTCAGTTCAGCACTTGGAGGAGAAGCTGGCGGGAGCCCCAGTGATGGAGCCCAAGGAGCTGGAAGAGGCTCCTGCTCCCCCACCACCACCACCACCCCCACCTCCACCCTTGCCGCCCACAGACCTGTCCACCCCAGCAGAGTAAGTGTCACGCTCGGTGCTTCCCATACAGACACCCCTGAGCTATGGGGGTGTTACAAGCATCCTGGACTTATAGCACAGCTGGGCTGGCAGGATGCTCAGGGGGTCACGGCTAGCCCAGCCCCCTGCTTCGGGCTTTGTGTCATCCAGCCCACCCTGGGGGCTGTCAAAGCTGCACTAAAAACTCCAGGACCAGCCCTCACATACAGATCTCAAACCAAATGCATCCTGATTGTGGGCTGTGCTCCCTTCCTGACCCCATGCAGCATCAGGTTAAGCCTGTGCAGAGGGGCAAGACCCCCCGGCCAGGACCCTCTGCAGGGAGGCAATAGGAGCCGGCTCATGCACGGCATTAGCCGTGCACACACAGGCTGAGGAAGGGGGTGGAAAGCCCTGGGGGTGGCTGAAGGATCATGGAGCCTTTACTGCCCGTGCCCCCCAGCTCCAGGCAGTGGGTGCTAGGTGACCTGCACAGTGTGAATTTGCTCAGCCTCAGCTCAGTGACGGCCCTAAGCAGCCCAAGGTGGTGCCCCAGATATGGACGCTTCCAGTCTGCCCCGTTCTGCTTCTGGGGCCTGCAGACAGGACAGCCAAGGGCTCTCTGCAGTCTGGGGTGGGGGGGTGCAGGCATTTAGGGGCATTGTGGTGGGTCTGGGGGGTGGCACGGAGTCAGCGGGGAGTCTGCATGATGGTGGTGGAGCTATGGATTCATTCAGAGGCATCACAGGGGTGCAGGGTCTGGCCCAGAGACAGCAGCAGGGCAGTGAAGACTTCATTGGGGCATGTGGGGTGAGTATGGGGAGGGAGGGGATGAGCGTGTGGGGTCCTGGCAGATGGAGAGCAGGGATGCGGGGGTCTGGCCAGAGATGTCGGGGATAGGTCAGGGGACAAGACAGGATCCAGGACTGGGTATGTCCAGTGGGATTGAACCAAAACTGATATGTATATTTTTTCAAAAACTTTGAACTAAAAAAGAAAAGCCCTAATTGGCTTGTTTTGGGTCAAGACAGGGTGTGTCCTGTGACCAGCCCTGCCATACTCCTTTGGGCTTTGGGGCTTTTCTTACAACCATCGTTTTCCTTTGTCTCTGCCCTTTTTCCTCTTGAGGCTGGTCAGTTTTTAATAGTATTTCCTGCCACTTCACCCTGGAGCTTTTCCTTTCTGAGATTCCCCTCTTTTTTGCCCCCAAACAGAATCACTTTGCTGAACTGGATGCAATCTCACTAGTCATTTGGGTGTCTCCAAAACTCCCCTTTTTGGCAAATTTCCTGCCTCTCCGAGCAATTTTGCCCAACTCAGGTTGGAAACCAAGGCCCGTGGCTGAGCTGAGGGGTGTGGACAGAGCCCTTTCCAAAGAGGAACATTTTGGAAGGGCAGTAGGTGGTACGGTCACCCCTGTACAGGGAAACACTTTGCCAGATGATGCTATCAGGGCACAGTCTCCACCTGCCAGTAGACTGTGATCTCCCAGGATCAAAGCTCTGCTTGGCTTAAACCCAACTTGCCCTGTTGGAGCTCAAAATCTTACTATAGAGGGAGATACTGTGAGAACTGGGGCTGTGTCAGGACTGGATGGATAGATAGATGGATGGTGAGTATGGGAATGGATGGATGGATGGTGAGTATGGGAACGGATGGATGGATGGATGGATGGTGAATATGGGAACGGACGGATGGATGGAGAGTATGGGGATGGATGGATGGATGGATGGAGAGTATGGGAATGGATGGATGGATGGATGGTGAGTATGGGAATGGATGGATAGTGAGTATGGGAACAGATGGATGAATGGATGGATGGAGAGTATGGGAATGGATGGATGGATGGTGAGTGTGGGAGTGGATGGATGGATTGAGAGTATGGGAATGGATGGATGGATGGATGGAGTCCCTAGGGTTTCAGCTTAGTGCAATGAGCCTTTTGGAGGATTTTTGAAAGGCCACCAACTCATAAAGGAGGGGCCCTAGGGACCCAGAAAGACCTTCCTCTCCTGAGGTGAGGTGTCCTAGGATGGGATCAGGAGCAGAGCTGCCCCAGACACAGGACAGTGGGGTGGATTGAGGGTCATCTCTTGCAATGTGCTCATGCCTGTCTCTCTTCTTCAGTCCCCTCTTGCTGATCAAGCAAAGGAAGGGAGTCCGAAAACAGATGCCCGGTAAGCCTCCATCCCTCCCCCACCCCAGCACCCACCCAATTACCCCTCCAACCCAAGAGGCATTTCTTATGGGCTGGTGATGGAACAAGTCTATGGGGTTCTCCATCTCCTGCCCCCAGCCCTGTCCACTTGGCAGTGAGCAGGGGGTATAAGGAGATGGGACAGGTATTCTCTCCATCTGTTACTTGGTGCATGATCAGATGAAGCCCACTCCGCACCAGTGACAGAGCACAGCTGGCTGGGGTTGGGCTTGGGCTTGGATCCTGTTATCAGCAGGCCTGGTCACACCTAGTGAATGGGTGGAGGGTTGAAGGGTGGTTCAGTGATTCAGCGGTCCAGCCCCTGGGCTCCCTGTGAGACCTGGGCCATGACCCTTGTCTCTCCATGCCTCAGTTTCCCCATCTGTAGCATGGGCATGGTGAGGACTCCATTACAGATTATGAGGTGCGAGGTGCAAGGGGCACTGTGCAAGACCCAGAGAGGTCCCTAAATCCATTGGATCCAAGGTAAAAGGGCCCTACAACTGCAGACTTGGACAACCTGCCTCCCCCAGGGCTCCCCCAACTTCTACTCGCCAGCGCACGAAGATGGGTAGATCTCAAATTTTGAAAAGGGGGGTACAGATGGTGAAGTGCATCATTACAACAACACCTATATTTCTCCAGTTAAAAGAAGCTAGAAGCCTCACTAATACACTGGGGGCCTTGGGCTGTATGGTTCTGTGCATGATGCAAGCCAAAAACAACTAGCACTTCACTGGAGTGAGTTAAAAGCCACCTGCAAGGCTGTGAAATAGGAGCGACATGACCAGGAAGGGCTAATGGCAGCACTGAAGAAGAAAGTCTAGCTTGAATAGGGGAACATCCAGACCATTTAAATGGAGAGAGGGTCTGTAGCAGGCTGCACGTCTCAAGGGCTGCCGCGCAGCTGCAAGCAGTAAGATGACAGGCCTGCCTTGGAGGACTGAGCCAGCTGATGAGCATAATTGGCTGGCCCAGAGGAAATTAAAAGCTCCCAGGGAAGAGAGCAGAGGGACAGCAAGAAGGCTGTGAGCTAGGGGCTGAGCCAGGACACTCTCTCAGGGTCCAGGAAAGCACTGCAGGGCGTGAGTTAATCCTTCATTGTTTATGCATGCATTTGTTTGCTGATGATGTTGTTGCCAGTGGGGACAATAAACGGTGCTAGAAACAGTGCTGACTTGCTGCACGGTCGTTAACACTTGTGGAATGGGAAAGTTAAGAAAAAATCAGATAGATTATAACGAGCTATAAAGAGAAATGACCCCCTCACTGCTACGTGGCTAGAAATGCTGCTGCCCCTGCCCAGCAGTTGGTTTTAAATTGTAAGTGGAGCAGGAATTAAAGGAGGGTGTGAGTGCACCCCCCTGAATCCACCTCGAGCAACTCCCAGACCCCTTTGCAGCCTTTATCCAGCGGCAATGAGCCCTTCCTTGCTATCTGCATGAAAGCTTGCTTCCTTTCCTAAGTGATCCCAGCACAAGGCCATCCAGCATCCCCCTGGGACCGGAGTAACTGGGTTTCTCTGGTGTCCCCAAGCTAGAGTCTGATCCCAGCAGGACTGGGCGCAGAGATAGGAGCTGGGCCAACTTTCAGCTCCCTGACCTCTCCTCTCCCTTGCTATGCAGGGGAGCCCAGGGTGGATGATGCCAAAGCCCGCGCCGTGGATGAAATGATGGCCAGGATCAAGAGTGGGGTGGTGCTGCGGCCGGCGAGGCGGGATAAGATGGCGGTGGCCCAGGTATGTTGTGGGAAAGGCAGGTAGCTTAGCCTCCTCTGCCCTCCTCCTCCTTTCCTTTGGAGGATACTGGATCAAGGCATCTCCAGCCTGGGTCTGGCAAGAGTCCTTGCCCCCATATACCAGCTCTGCCGTGAGCTCTCTGTGCCCCAAGGCAGAGCCACCCCACATCTTACATGGTGCAAACCCAGGAGCCGTTTCCCCCACGACTGCTCTCCAGGCTTCAGTCCCCAGCATGCCAAGACCTGCTGTGGGGGCAGGATGAGCCTGGACTGGCTTCACTGCCATGTTCCCAGGGCTGCTGGATGGCAGGGCCCATCCGAGCACATCTGTCCCCGTCAGCCCTCGCTGACTTGCCTGCTTAGCGGAGAGCGGGCAAGGACTCAAGGGTTGGGGGATCCCAAACTCTCTCAGCTGGACCCAATGCGTGAGCAGCAATGGGCTGTGCATGCCAGGGCACGACTCTGCCACCTCCACGCTGTGCCCAGGAGCACTGACCCTACTCTGGCTCCCAAATACGGAGCAATACAGCTGTCCTGAGAGCCCACCCCAGTGCTACCCTATGGCTCTGTGTCTCAGGCAATAGATCCACGCTCTGGCCGGGGCCTGCGGGGAGAGCACTGAATCCTCCCTTCTCTGTTTCCCCACAGGATCCCTCCACGACCGCCAACAAGCGCAAGAGCGCTGCGATGGAGCTGCAAGGGATCCTGGTGAGTGGCTGCACCCGAAGGCAGCTGTGCATGGGGTCTCGATCCATGGGAAAACGCCTCACCTTGGAAGGTGCATGGGACCTGCAGGCTTGTTCCTGCCCAGAGGCAGGGCACGGGGGCAGCCCAATCCTGCCCTGACTGGCTCCAGCATGGTAGCTGGGCAGAGACATCTCAGGGAGCACAGAGCCAAAGGGGAGGTTAGCAGCATGGCAGTCACACCGGTGCCCTGCTTCAGATGTGCCCAGCACAGCCCCCTTGGCTATGTCTCCCATGGGGTGGTGCAGGAATCCACGACGAAGGATGCAACTGCACCACTGCACCCCCCTGGATCTGCCCCTGGGTGTAGCTCAGTCTAAATGGGTGCTGTTTTCCTCTTGTGCCTGGATAACAACCTACTACTGCAACCACGCCTGCTGCTTTTGTGCAGGGGGTGGAGGTCTCTGCTAAGGAGGCTCCCTGTAAGGGTGCCTCTGTTAGGGTGGTCAGACTCCATAGTCACCTGATGCATGGGCTGGTTGGGGTCCCGTTGCACGGGAG